GAGCCCTCCACATCCCGGGACTGGAGAACAGGGGTGCCGACCTCATGTCAAGCCCCTGCCAGGCGAGTGGGTGCTTCACCCGGAGGTGGTGAAGCAGATCTGGGCCCAGTTCGCGAGAGCGGAGGTGGACCTGTTCACCAGCAGGCGCAACAGCCACTGTGCCCTGTGGTTTTCCATGGCTCGGCGGGACGTTTGCACACGAGCCATGGCCAAGAAAGCTGCTCTACGCCTTTCCACCGCTGCTCATTCTCCCCCTCCTGGCTATAGTATGAAGCTGCAGTGTCGGAGAATGCAGTCTCAGGACCGCAGTCTCAGGGGCCGTGCTCCTGGGACCGCACTCCTAGGACCCTAGTTGTTTTGCAACATCGCCACCTAGCGAATTGGATGGCCGCAAAAGTACAACCAGCGAGTATTGAGTCTCATACACAGCGAGTCTCTTTAGACATTGTAATACTTGTTATTAACGATCTAAAAATGCATGAAAATGTGTTTTTCCTTACAGAAATTAAATTATTATTATTAACTACAATTTTTTGTTAATATGTTTCTGTTTTTTTAATAACAAATGTATTTTGTATGTCAGATGTAAAAAGATAGTCTTTTATAGTTGTCTTGTCAAATTTGACATACAACGTAAATACATATATATATATATATTGTAGTAAGAATGATATAATCTATTTATAATTGTAAATGTATATTGTATGTAGACATACATTTAGATGTATATTTTGTTCAAAAAATAAAAAAATGTTAATTTAGTTTTTGGGAGAAGGGGTGGGGTTAAATAAGTGTAAACTCCTTCCCACGCCTTTTCGGATGTGTAATTAGGTAGATCATTTGTTTATATATAATTTGTAAGTCAATAATATTTAGTTTATCAATTTGATACTGCTTACTGTTGTGGAAATAATTATCATAAGACGCCAATTAGTAACATACAGGACAAACCTCGATGTCTGTTTACCTTCTTTAAGGACACAGGCGGCTTAGCCAATAATGTTATTGTTCCCATTCTGTGACCGGTCAATACTGGGATACAGATGGTCTGTGTTGTGGGTACACTGGGACACTTCCTTCTCTGTATTTGTGGACTCCAAGGTAAAATCTTCGAGGTCATAAGTGTCCGAGGCAAGTAGCTCAGTGTTCCCACACTGTTTAGGCTATCTTCTCAAATATGTTGTTTACTCTCTGCGAAACCAGTTAGATGGGCTGGCAAGAGAGAGGCTCTCCAGAATTGACGTGGCAACTCTACCGTGAAGTCAGAACCTCTGACTCTTGGACTTGTGATGTGAATCCTCCGGCCGTTAACTCCAAATAAACCATCATGTGTTTGACATCAAAGCTACTGCTCTTCCCGTGTCTCCTTCCTGAGTCGGTGACTCCCACTGCATAGCTACACAGAAGTTTCCTCTACAAATTGGCGTTGTCGGCAGGATGCCAACAGATCTTCAGATTGTGGTAAGTGTGATTTTCAAATCTACTTTGGACATTGCCTTATCAGACTCTGTGATTGACGGTATCCTAAAATTACCTGTGAAACTGATCGGCTGCGTTTCCTTTTGGTTAATGAACATTTGGGGATGATTAAACCCAGGGAATCAGTGTCTGGGGACTCAGTCCTGGCTGATTTCCTCTGTGTATGCTGCTCGGGACGGAAGTGCCATACAGGCATACACAGCTCATGTTTAGAGATACCTTAAAGAAGGAGCATCAGTGAAGTGGAGCTTCTGTGTGAATTGAAAGCAATGTAAAAGATTTGTATTGGACAAATCGCCGGATTTTGGGGGTCTTAGTGGCTAAGCACAGCAGTTGAAAATAAGCAGCCAAAGATATTTGCTGCTATCACCTCTCTGTAAAAACACGGCTCCAGCTGCAGCCTTGTGTGTGTGTGTAAAACCTCCCCGTGTGTGTGTGTGGGGCTGGAGCAGTGCAGGCTGAGAGGGAGAAAGTCACAGCTTATTGCCTATAGGCTTTAACTCACGGCACCACCGTCCTTCAAACGGGACGGTCTAAAAGCACTCGTTGTTTAGGACCGCTTTTCTCATGGTTAGACGGGCCAGCGCGAAGTGCGTGCATCACCCGATGCGCTACGGCTCTCTGGAGCAGGTGGCGGTCAGGAGTGCATACATACAATTATAGGCTAATTGATCAGAGGTGTGTAGTGGCAAGCAAGCATAGGCAAGCTGTGTTTCACCTTGAGGTGAACTCGATAGCAAGTGTATATCGGCTGGTCGTACGGACTACAGTCAACTGAGCTGTTGTTTGGAGAGAAAGGGCAGGGAAAAAGTCTGTGGACTCCGATCGGGGGGGCACAGCGCCACTAGAAACAAATAGCCTAGTGGTTGTCGCAAGAGGATAAGCTAGTTATCGTTCTTGGACGGCTTTCAGGCACCGATAAATCACTTGTATGCAAGGGTGAGGCGTGAGAAGACGCCCCACTGGAGATAATTCCCCCCCCCCTCTAAGATCTCTAAAATCCGGACTAAATTGAGCTGGATGAGCTTTGCTGTCGCGCTGGTGTTTATTACGAGTTCATGTTTTGTTTGTCTGATTGTTGTATGGGGGGTCTATATTGGTTTGTCCCGCCGTCTTGTGTATGTTTTGTAACAATAATGAATCAGTCCATAGACAGGGTAAAATGAACTAAACATTAGTTATCTCACCAAAAGTAAATGACCTGAGAAAAATAAAAAGTGTTTTTATGTCCTGCCTCTGAGAGTGCAGGGGAAAATGTAAACAAGAAGCCCACTGTTCAGGGTGAGCGCTAGGTGTAAGAAGAAAAGAAGATTATATTGCTTTAAGAATCCATTCTTAAATGGTATTGCTGGTATGTTAAGATATCTTTGTGACCTTGTATAAACCCTATGCCCGTCCTGCGCCCCGAGACCCTCAGAGACCTGCCTGAGGAGATCAGGGTTGCAAAATCTGGTTTTAGGTCAATGTTGTATTATTTGTTTCATTTATTCTTAATCTATGTATTATATAGTAATAATGAATAAAAACGTAATGTATTGAACACATTCCGAAACAAAGTAGATAAGACAGAACAAGACTCAGACATAATACTAATTGTTGTTGAAACCTTTTGCGCTGTTGCAGCAAAATGGAAACTTTGTTGATTATCTGTTCCAACTGGCCACTGGAATCAGGTAATTAATATAAGTTGAAGTTCAATTACAGTTTTAAAAATAGTTTAACATTCTTTATTAAACTGCTTCAAATTATTTCTAGTATCAACCAATTGGTCTCCAGAGACAATACTAAAATTAAAATAGTTGTTAAACTGACAAGTTTTCTGAAACCGAGCTTATGAACAACAGAGTAAAGGTCGCTGGTTAAGCCAGGATCAATATATTTGTTGAAGTTTTTATTGTGTGCATAATAAATGTGTTAAATTAATTGAGCAATTCTTTAAAAGTATAATGTTGCAATTTCTTTAAAATAAGTATACAGTTAAAAAATAGATGTTGTTTTCCAAGGGCCTCTCTTTCACAGGCACTTTGAATCATAACACTCCCAAGTCCTACAGAGATCAGTATCACTTTATGTTGCAAGCCAAATCCAGGGGTTCTACTCGAGCCCAATTTTAAATACCATAAAGAAAAGTATTGAACCCAGCTCGAGCTAAATGTCAAATGTATTTAATTAATGTGCAAGTGTTTTGATTTATTTAAAATGTTCCAGTCTAGCTTCCTTCGAGTTTAGTGTAAACAACAGATTGGTTCTCATAACATTCTCACTGCTGTGCTGTCCCAAATGTTTTAAACCTTGGGAAGACAAGCACACACACACACACACACACACACACACACACACACACACACACACACACACACACACACACACACACACACACACACACACACACACACACACACACACACACACACACACACACACACACACACACACACACACACACACACTTTGGATGAGTAATCACTTCATCCAAATTGTAAATTGTTGCCTTCTTTAAAGTTATTAGTAATTCAAGATTAATTATTAAATTTAATTAGGTACATAACATAGAATAAACAAAATAACTTTGATTTGATCATTTTGTTCACAACATTAGACCTTGTCCTCTAATCTCTACTAGAATAAGATAAGTGTGCATGTTTGGGTGTGGAACACTCCTGTAAAGTACCTAATCTTGTTATCCTTTTCATTACAGAGCTGGGAAAATGGTGTATTGCTTAGATTCTGATCCGTGGAAAGTCCAATTTTGACTGACTTTAGTTCTAATGTTAATTTGATTTCAACCCATAAGTAATTATTTAGATTAACTCAACATTTCACATGATGATGGATTAGTGCTCCACATTTTTCCCACTAATTTGTTGTGCAATTAGGCCAATGGTAAAGAGAGACATTGATGACCTTGTGTCCCTTTTGTTGGTACGTGGTTCCATTCTGTCTATGGCCTTGTGATTCTTCACTAAGAATCACCCAGTTCTGACACAGTTCTGAGTGCAGTCACAGAGATGCTATGGCTGCTCTACATGAAATGACATTAATGGTCTGGTCTGAGAATGGACACCATTACCTGCTTCCAGAGACAATGCCGCTCCTCAAACTGAACAATACTGTCTCACGTGGGCCACTCCCCCCACCAAGCCATGAACTGAAAGAACACCTGGAAGCCTCCCGGTCACACCAGCACCAACCCTTGGGTCAGTCAGATGGGACTAACGGCTTAACTTAGGGCATTTGGTTCAGAAATATGACTCTCGTTACCGCAGAGTGGGTTGTTTTTTTAAGGCTATTCATACTGCTATGCAGAGGATGCCTGTAGGTTGGCAAGCTGTTAAAAGACCCTACTATTTTTTAAAATAGGCCTAATGTCAGGAGCCTCTTAACCCTTAAAGGCCGAGCGTGCCGCCCGCGGCTTCAAAGAGGTAGCGTTCTAAAATGCTTAATAACTTTGTAACCGCTAATCCTATCCATCTGATTTAAAAAGTGAGGTAAAGCGGCTATTCTAGGCTTTCTGCTGGTATCACTATGTCCTTTTCCGGGATTCAGAGGCTCCGACGTGATCGGGGCAACGTTATCACATTTTACAGCCTTGATTCGTCAAGGAGACCCACGCGGCCCCTCTGTCTGAGCCAAACAGCAAAGGTTTTAGACTAAGTCCCACCCCCCTGTGTCCGGATAGGTTTAAAAGGGTAAAGGTCCAGGCAAACCTCTGCCCATGCTACCATCTTCTCGACCAATCAACATAGGTTGCTGTGTATGTTTTTGGCGGCGGGAGATAAACAAAGAGAAACAGAGAGACGAGAGAGTAATACTAAAGAAGAGTAATTCTGCCAGCGTAAGAGAAATAAATACAACACGAGATATCTAGATACAGTCACACACACACACAAATACACATACATACACACACACACATATCCCAAGACAAATTCAAACCAACATGTCAAAACGGCGTTACACTACGGAAGAAGCCGTAGAATTTATTTTGTCTGGCGGACCGCTTAGCGATGCAGCGGTGGATTCCTCAGATTCTGAAGCTGACAACTGGCAAGGAAGAGGAGTATGATCACGGGATTGATCCCTTCGAAGATAAAAAAGTGAGTAACTTTGCTTATTTCTTATTGTTTGTGTTGCATTTATCGGTTGTTGTTTCTGTATAACGCCGAAAAATAATTAGTCCTAAGAGTTTTTATAATGGATGGCCATTTGCCGTAATTGTGTCATAAAGTGAAGTCCTGAGCTCAAGATTCACTATCAATAGAGGCTACTATTTATTTCAGTAAAAAAACGTCAAGCAATACCTTTCATTTATTGCCTCATTCCGCTTGCCCTCTTTGGTTGTTTGTTATGAGGTCTAATGTTATTATATTCATTGCATTACAATTCAGTTACTGATTCCATCAACTAGTAATGTTAGCAGAGGGATAAAGTGTGAATCAAATCAAAAGTTGAGACTGTGTTTAGAAAACAGATAGGATGACACTGGAGAAATAAAAGCAATAAAGGAAATAAAATAAATTCAGACATTTATATCTGTATATTTTCCTCCCTTTTATTTTAGTACAGAGGATGAGAGAGGGGATGCACAAGCCCCTGTCCCCATCAGTAGGCCTCCTTCAAACCGAGAGGGAAAAGAATGTGGCCAGGAGGGTGCAGCATCCAGAAAAAAGGCCAAACCAATGCCAGCCCCCCTGACAGTGAAAGGGAGAGGAAGAGGGAAAGGGAAAAAAACATCTCTGACCCCAGAAGAGCCAGGAGCTGTTTGGAACGGACCTGAGGTGCCAGATACTACCACACTTTTGCCCGAAAAGAGCCCCTGGAGTCCAAGGTTTTGTTGGTGTGGAGTATACTCCTGCACAAATATTTAGAAATTGTTTTAACAACCAAGCTGTAAATATCATCTGCAAGAACACAAACAAAAATGCTGAAAAGGAGCAGGCTAAGGGGGAAAAGTTTGTTTGGGAAAGCCGGTAAAATTCCTCATGTATGTCGGCCTTATGGCACTTCTAAGACTGCTAAAAGTAAGTGACTACTGGAGGAAGGGATCACACCTGAGTGTTCTCTTTCCTGCTTCTGTCATGACAAGAGACAGGTTCATGGCAATCAGCAGAGCTGTACATCTGAGCGACCCAGACCATGATGAATCTTGATACATTTCCTTTGCTCTTTATATATTTTTCTAATATTTTGGTTATAGTTTGAAGATCATTTGCTCTTTGTACTTTCGCACTTTCTATATATTCCTAATACTTTGTTTATAGTTTTAATATAATTTGCACTTTGTTAATTTGCACTTTGAATTTGTTTCACTGTTTGTGTTTGTATTTCAATGTTCAAATTATAATATATATCTCTGAAACAAGTTATTTTTGTTGCAATGTCATCTGTTATGGTTTAATTGTTTACTCTCTCAACCTTTTTTTGACAGAAGAAACATGATCAGTCATTTAAATATGGAAATACATTTCGTTTTAATTATTCCATATGATCCTAGGAGTTTTTCACTGAAAAACGCCTAGGATAATATTGTAATAAATAGCTGTAACTTGCTCAGGGAACATAATATGCAGATGAAATTTAATTTGAAAGCCTAAAACATCTAAATGCAGCTTTGTAAATAATAAAAAAGAAAATCCCTATGTTCCTGGCGGAGTAAACAGTAAAAAAACACAACATTTGTACTGGCGTTTTTGAAAAGTGCTGGTAAATTCAGCCATTATCACACAAAGTTATGGTAAAATTTGGACTTCAAATTAGCCAGACTTGAACTAGAGGTTCTCCTGAATCAAATGAGGTAAGGCACTTGATGCTGACTGCAAGAAAAGGTTAGAACAGGTTAGGAGAAACAAATAAATACAGGAGAGTCAGGCAGGCGAAAATTCCGTCTAGGTCTTTAAGGGTTAATGTGTAGTTCTACATGTATTCACATTATATGGACAATGTTTCCACCTGGTGAAACTGAAGGCTGCACGGTACTCAGGCTACAATACGACCATTCTGTTCTGCTCTAACGATTCAATTGATAGATTCTACATCAAAACAATTAGCTTTTATTGTTTCCAATGATAACGTCATTTTAAGTGGAGGAATGCAAACCTGTTTTCAAATGTAAGGTTTTGAATGTGTTTGACATTTCTCAGTAAAAACACCCTCAGACACCCACTATCATTTATGCTATGCCATCAGTAGTGACTCAGATGTTAGGGGGAAGAAGCTTTTCCTCCCAAATCAGATATGCTTTGTTTTTTTAACAAAGGTATGCATTTCCTGCATAATATATGTTTCTCACAATTGTTTTTTTTGTAAGCTGCACAGAGGTGATACTGAGTCTTCTCGAGTAATAGATTACACCATGCTTAAATAGACTCCTAAGTTATTATTTCATATGAGACATATGTAAGAAAAGGGAGGGAAGAGTCAATTATATTGAGTAATTGATTTTATATTGGAACATTTATTTCTCAAACCTGTTTTATGGAAGAGGAAAATATTTCTGATAAACTAATATGTTATCAAACGGTAAATGGTGAATTAATATAACATTTAGAATCATTGAGAAGGGGTGATATCCACAGGGACTAGCTCACCTTTAAATTACAATAACATTTCTCTACTTTGGACTGATGAGTTTATGATTCTTGCATGTTAAATGACTAACACAAACCTTACATTTATGCATGTGCATGTCTCAGGAAGGCTCCCAAATAATTCTGAGGGGCCTATCCTATTTTTGTATTTAAATGATAATGTGCTAATCCATTACCTTGAGTTGTCTGCACTCAGGAAAACATCCCTATCAAGTGTTAACCCAATAACTACAGTAGGACAGCTCTGAAGGCCAAGGGTCAGAGAGAGAGCTACGTGGGTCCACGCCAGCCACTGCAAGGTCCTAGTCACCAACAAAAGTAGATGACAACAAGTGATGTGTCCTAGTCACCAACAAAAGTAGATGACAACAAGTGATGTGTCCTAATCACCAACAAAAGTAGATGACAACAAGTGATGTGTCCTAATCACCAACAAAAGTAGATGACAACAAGTGATGTGTCCTAATCACCAACTTGCACCACACTTGCACTACATACACCAAAACACACTACACACAAGGTGTCACAGGCAAGTGCCAGCTGAGCGGTTCCATATGCTCTCTGGTTCCTCGTTTGTGTTACCGGTGTGCGGAGTCTGACTGTCCGTGTCACAAAATCGACCGAAGGAATACACACACACACCCCATGGAGCATTCCCACCTCGTGATGACGGCTCGCCTGGGAAAACGACAACGCAACCGTGAGCAATACAACTGGCCTGGCCCAGTGATGTGGGGTTTAGCTCGCCACAAGATTACGTTTGGTTGTGCGGCGACAAGCTCTATCAAGTTCTGGCTCCCCTCTGGATAGGTACATGCACTCTAGTGGATTTGAATCCAGCAATCAGGCTTAACAACACTACTCTTTAATGTATTATCCATGCATAGAAAGACCTACAATGATGTTTCAAGTACTGGATTAATTTCAGTTTTGGCCCAAAACAAATATTTATAATATTTCATATAACAATTATGTAGCATATTTGATCCTCAAATTAGAGAAGTATAATTTAAAGAAATTGATATTCTCAACATTAGATAAACACAGAAGAATCCTTTCCAAGTACCATAAGTAGCTCAGGTAAGTATGGCTAATAGGAATACTTGATAGACTTAATTTGGTACAGATCAGTGGTAGCATTTACAAATGTAATAATTCAAGGTTTAAAAATGTTTAATCCTTCCTTTCCAGGTTTTTACAAAAGTCTTTGAATATTTGCCTAACTTTTCCTTTTCAGATTTTGAACAATGTACTTGACTAAAATGAATGTATTGATTTCACTAAGTGCCTTACTCTTGACTAAAGCGTATTTGAGTAAACGGTAAAAGTAATCCTAAAATTGAGGACACTGCACTTTTGCAGATTACAGATTGATCAAATCACCATTGTGAATTCTATACTCTAACTGTGAATGTTTAGCTGGATCTCTTACGATCCTGAGTTTTAAAATGCTTTTGACTAGTGATTGCCTTGAAGTAAATCTTTAAAGCGGCAAACTGGTTTTGATTTTATAGTTTTATGAATGAAATTAACTAATGGTAAATGATCACATATATTAGTTTAAAAACAAATATTTAGCCATTGTGCACCTGTGTTTTATGTGTGTTCATTATTATGCTTTTGACAAAAGATGATCAAACACTGATGAGAGATGATTTTTCCTATTATGATTGTCTGTATCAATCATTGTGATTGAATGTTTCAATCTTATTCTACTTTGTGATATAATTGATGTAAGGTGAGACCACACTCGAACCTGGAGACGTCTATTGAGTTAATTATTGACCAAATTATTATTAGACTAATGTTTTTAGGTTATCATAAATGATAAAAAGAGAGGACTGTTGTGGAAATAATTATCATAAGACGCCAATTAGTAACATACAGGACAAACCTCGATGTCTGTTTACCTTCTTTAAGGACACAGGCGGCTTAGCCAATAATGTTATTGTTCCCATTCTGTGACCGGTCAATACTGGGATACAGATGGTCTGTGTTGTGGGTACACTGGGACACTTCCTTCTCTGTATTTGTGGACTCCAAGGTAAAATCTTCGAGGTCATAAGTGTCCGAGGCGAGTAGCTCTGTGTTCCCACACTGTTTAGGCTATCTCCTCAAATATGTTGTTTACTCTCTGCGAAACCAGTTAGATGGGCTGGCAAGAGAGAGGCTCTCCAGAATTGACGTGGCAACTCTACCGTGAAGTCAGAACCTCTGACTCTTGGACTTGTGATGTGAATCCTCCGGCCGTTAACTCCAAATAAACCATCATGTGTTTGACATCAAAGCTACTGCTCTTCCCGTGTCTCCTTCCTGAGTCGGTGACTCCCAGTGCATAGCTACACAGAAGTTTCCTCTACACTTACGTTTCTACCATATCATAATTATCTTGTTTCATTTCATTATTATTATAAAAAATGTTTTTATTGTATTACACGTTCGAAATAAATCAAATCAGATGTGTCTTTGAAGAGGTGCTTGATTACTCAAAAACAAAAACAACTGTTAGTGTGTTTCTGTACCTGGCTGCCAAAGATAAACATGCAGTTTGACCGAGAGGCATTTCAGTGCAGAATCCATTTGTATTTATTTAGAAGACGGGCACAATTTCCTTAACACGGAATGACCTCTGGAGTCCAGCATGTCTTTGAGTTCCTCTGACCCTTCCTCTGAAAGTGGAGAGGACACTGAGGATTCTTCACTGGGGTGAGGCGGGGTCTGTTGTTCCCTCAGCCACCAGAAAACAGCTCCAGCTGCAGTACCCCGGGAAGCCCTCTTCGGGGTAAAAACCCTCCAAGATTCCTCGCCGTCCACTTCCCCGGTAGCCTGTGCCAACGTCCTTATAAAGATGGTCGCATTGAAAGCACCTTGTTTCATTAAACAAATAAACAAAAAGGCTAACAGTTGGTTTTGCAGTGAGTCATCATAGGCTAACAGATGACTCAATACACCAGAATCAGCCTGTCCTCCTACAAAAAACGACCAAATAGGTCGATTGTTTAAGCACTTTAGATTACGACCCATAGCCACGTTTTAAAGTGTAGCACCTCTAGTGGTCGTGTAAGAAACAACATGCTCCCGTTTATTCGTTTATTCACAAATAACCCTCTCTGGAAAATCCTAAATTGTAGAATAGTTAGGCCATTAACCTGTTAAACCCCAAGGTCCCCGCCGACGAAAAATGCTAACGGACATTGGCACAGAACTCAAGATAAAAGTACCCTTATTACTTATCGTAGCTGCACATACAAGATATCTGATTAAAGCTGAGGTTCCACAGATTATTTAGGTATATAGTATCATCACTGAGTGATCCGAACTCGCGACAGGGGAAGCAAACACAGACATCACAACACGGAGCTTCTAGGGAGATCGTCTCACCGTAGCTGTCAATCTGATCAAAAGACGTGTTCAATGGCATTAAAACGAGAAAAAACGCGGCTGAATCGGTTAATCCATAGGTTTTTAACGTCTCTGTATAAAAAAATTGTTTCATTTATAATCCATAATTCCATTTTTATGTAAAAATCGCAGAGCAAAAGTTAGCTGCTAATGGTAATGGTAGTGGCTGCTGCTTCCGGCTTCTTGGCTATGCGGCAGTCTAACACACACACATTACCAAATAAGGACTATGTGTGAGTTCCCCTCGATTCCATTGGCTCTGACGGTCAGAAAGAGATGTCACATGTCAAAATCCAGCAAGGGGGGCCAGAGATATGGAAAATCCACCCAAATGGCCCCAGAAGAGGTTTTTTTTTTGCTAAATCTGTCTAAAAAGGTCAAATATCACTTGTTTTGTATCAATCTTGATACAGGGTACTTATTATATGTTGTACTTTGGATTCATAAAGCATTTAGTCTACTAACCCATCATCCAAGGAGTTTTCACTATAAGTAAAACATATTTTTTGGACGGACACTATAATTTACAGTTTTTTACCATGTTCAATCTGAATTTTCTTTAAAATAAAAAACATCTATATTGATTCAGACTTTTCTACATCCAACTCACAGGTTTATCATTGCTTTGAGAAAAAAGATTATTAATTTAACCCCTTTAGAAGGGAAGATATGGTCATTTGTTCTGGGAATGTCATTTTCGAGCCTGAAACCTGAAAAACAGGCTCAGGGTTTAACAGGTTAAAATGCTTTTTGATTAGATTTCTAGCGAGAAGTGTATATTGTACTTTTAGAATCCACGTCCAGTCGATGTGTAGGATCTATAGTTTGATAGATATTACGAAGATGATTTGAGGTCTCGCCAGGATAACGTGTATGCAGCTTCCATGTAAAGTTAGCGTGGGTGAAAACTGTTTTTCCGGTCTC